GCTCCTGCTCCTGCTCCCGCTCCTGCTCCTGCTTCCGCTCCTGCTCCAGCTCCCGCTCCTCCTCCCACTCCTGCTCCCACTCCCGCTCCTCCTCCCGCTCCAGCTCCTGCTCCTGCTCCTCCTTCTGCTCCTGCTCCCGCTCTTGCACCTCACAGCACGGGGCGCCCCAAGCGCGCTGTGAGACCCGACATGGCTGCCCTTGTATACAGTTAAAGGGGGCGGGGAGAAAGGGCAGGCGTCATCGTTATTGCCAGCAAATTGATTTTCAGTGTATGTACCACAGCTCTTCCCCCTCTCCCTCCGCAAAAGGCCCAGCGTTTAGGTGTATTAAACGGGGAGGGGGAAAAAAAAAGGGAAGATTGTAAGTAGCTGTGGCAACAGCAAAATAAACTTTCAACTTAACGACTGCACCGGCTCATATTGAAGGTGGGCTCGCCAAGAGCGGGTAACTTCAGGCCAAGCTTAAAGACGCACCGCAGCTGGAAGCCTCTCTGACTGGCGCTGCGCTTTTTCGTTCCTATCAATCAATCACATTTTATTTTGCATCAAGGTTTTTGGTTTAAAGCCTATTGCATGCAAATTGTTACGATTGCATCAGATATTTTATACCTCTCTCTACTATCTGCGTCAGTCATTCAAACTTAGGTTTCCTTTGGATCAGACCTTCCCTCCGGGGGAGCTTTGCCGTGCGCTGTGCCAGCCTCGGCCCAGGGAAAGGTGCATCGCAGTAAGTACCTGCCAGCGGCTTTGAACTGCCTGTGCAGCTGACCATGGGGACAGTTAAGCATATTCCCGCTCTCCATCTAAACAATGTTGCCATAGATTTATTTTTTTTTGCAGGTTTGAAATTTATAAACCTGTGAAAGCAATGAAGCAGATGATAAAGCTTTTTTTGAGTTAAAATTTTATAAAGGTGACACTAGACAAATAAGCTCCTGATAGCTGTATAGCTACACACGAATATAAAAGTTGTTTTTTATAAACAACAGTTTAGGATCAGGCACGATGTTTTCAGCAACTACAAGCAGTGCCCTCTTGCGACGAGCGCCTGACGTGCAGAGTCAAAGCTCCCGGCCGCAGCCGCTCAGCAGGGCTCAGCTCCACTGCAGGTGAACGTTAATGCCCTTCCTGTAAAACAGCTAAGATGTTCTGAGCATCTTTCCCATGCTTTTAAAAAGTCAAATAACAATATTATTGCAATTGAGAGCCTCAGTTAAAAAGAAAACAAAAATCTAGTCCCTAAAAATATCTTTTGCAAGTGTTTAATAAGTATTTTTCACTAAGATGACCATTTAAAAAATATGTAAATTGACACCATCCCTTTTACAGACCTAGGTAGGATTTTATTATTATTATACTAAGGGAATGGAAAAAATCCTGACATTTAAAAACAAAAACAATTGATTTTTTTCCTTTTTTTTTAGATTTAAAAAAGAAAGTATGCAAAGTTGATCTGTTGATCTGCTACATGATAGTTATAGAACCATCACTGAATCTATAGCATGATCCAAGAAGAGGCTGATCATTGATGGTCAATAAATTAGTATACTGAGTTTTTTTTTTTTAAATATACATACATACATACATACACACACACACACACACACACACACACACACACATGAAGTTTTCCCTATAGGCAAACTACTATTACCTTCATCAGTTTTTCTTCAGGTTTCCATTATAGTATTAGCTATTAATTTGTGAGACATAAGTAGCCTACTACACCTGATCTGGTTTAATACAGCAATTGCTAAGTTTCCCAGAAATATTAAAATTAAGAGACTATTAAAAATATACATATATATAAAGGAAAAACTCTATAAGTACTTCAAACAAGCTAGCTCAACATTATATTCATCATTGCTTCTGCCACCCCCACAAATCTGAGAATCTGAGCCCCCCCCCAAGAAACAGCAATCCATAAGAATGATAATTTTAATTATTAATAGCGAGCACATGGTACATTCCTTTCCAGCAGCAGCTCACTTCTCTCTAACATTATTGAAAAGAAAGGAAAAAAAAAAAAAAAGAGGCTAGTCCAGGCAACCTGATACAATTGTTTCACTAACCAACTCTTTGAGAGAGCAGCTGTAAGTTTAAGAAACTATTGGTGCACAAAACATGGGATGTTTATTTAGCAAAATAGCAAGAGCACAGCAAAACATGCTTTTTTTACAATGGCAAAAATACACTCAGCCTTCAAGGCTGCCTTTTACATCAACTCAGTTCTGAAACCATAAAATTCTCATTTGCAGCATGTTGAGCCTTAACATTATATTAAACAGGCTATCATTAGGGACATGGTTACCAAGTTCATCTACTCAGCAGAGTATAAAGTGCACAAGAAAAATAAGTGCATTGACATGAACCAAACAGTTAAGATTACGAGTAATTCCTGTTACAGACAGTACTTGCTTAAATTGGAATTCTCTCAGCCTATTTACTAAAACACAGTACTGTTTTCAAGCGCACAGAATCAGTATCACAGCTATGTTAGAAAGACCGTAACTGAACACAGGTATTTTTTTTCCTCCAGTCATCTGCCACACCAAGAGATGGCAGCATCCTCACGCAGCCTACACCATCCTGCACAAGGTGCAAGGCAGCTCCTTTAATTACTACCTTTTCTCTTTATCTCCTAGGGTCAAAATAGTAAGCACTGCAGTGATTTGTTCAGGTTTCTATTGACTTTGCCCCTCCATGTCTATCCTTGATTAGTGGAGTGTGGGCTGAGAGTTAAGTATAGGGGTTCAGTTTTTCTCCCTGATTATAAAAAGGTACTTTACATTTTTGCAGGCTGTCAGGAACTGTATTTTCTTGGTTTCCCTACTCATAGGTTAAGGCCATCGTTAGCACTGTGTAAGAGCCGAACACTGAAGTAATCATCTAAAGGCTATTAATTTACGGTTACATCTACCATTAAAAAAAAACAAAAGCCAAAGAACTGAGGGGACAGGTTCCCAAATGCACTGAACACAGAGGCTGGGTGCTTAGTCACTGGACTCTTTGGGCATTACATTTAAGAGCAGTGGATGCGTTACAATGCTGGTTGTTTCTTCAAAAACAGCTTATTTAATTCCCCTGCAATATATTCTGAAGTCTAAAGAGTTTATATTATTCTTGTATTTAACTTATTTGACAAGTTTCCTGTCACAGTGAAATAGTTTTTTGCCTGCACAAGCTTTTCTAAGAAAGGAAACCAGAAGTAGGGTTAGTTTCCATAGCGTTTGTGTACGTTGTCAATCTCAGATCCGATGCAGAAGCACACCATAGAGCAATACATAGAAGCCCTTTGGATTAAAAGGAAAAAAAGACTCACTTGGCAAAACCTAACATTTTTCACCCTATATAATATACCCCTAACAATAGACTAATCATATAACCATATGCTGTTTGCAAAACTATGTTCTGTTTTGCAATAATATAAAGTAGTACAAAATGCAGGTAGTATTTTATTGCCTGCATTTCCAAACACAGTATTAGTCACTAAAAAGTGTGTGCAATAATACATTTAAATTTCTTCAGTCCTTTTTTCCCCGTGTGCAAGTTCTCCATGTATACCACAGCAAGAGTTCAAATATCTTCTTTTCCCTTTTGAATCAAAGGCCAAAGGATTGGAGGCAAGGAGCCAAACAGGCCATTTATATCTATGCACTATAATTCACTTCTGCTAATGGAATATGCATTCCAAAAAACCAGGGTCATCAGATATTTACAGTTGTGGAAGAGAGCAGATTATATTTTGCTGTAGGATTATTCACTTAGAAAACTTAAAAATGGTTGCAAGCCCAACTCTCCCCCTCTGGTCATTTCAGAGAGCTAGTCTCTGAGCTGATCTGAGAACAGGCAAGAGTACACCTATAACTTAAGGTGATACGTGTGAAACTGTGGGGAAAAGAGGGTACAAGAGCTGAAGACAGCCCATACAAAAGTTAATGCATAGCAAAAACTAGACAAATAAATCTAGGAGGAAGAAAGAAAAAGTCCAGACATTCAGAGTTGGTCTTGTTTTTACACAGGTTTGTGCTCATTCATTTTTGTAAAGCCTTTAAGCTTGCTTCCTATTCGTAAGAGGCCAGTACTTTCAACTACTGTATGAGAGTCACAATGGGGCTAGAGGAATAAAGGTATTGAACAAGGTAACGTTGTAGGTAATGAGTTCGGAGCTTATTTGAATTATTCTTGCCTTTCTCACAAAGCCCCTTTTTAAGTAAAGCAAACAGGCAAAACTTCACTTATAATAAGCAAAGGCTGTGGCCAGACTTCCTCTTCAACATACAGACAAGAGGATGGGTTACCATACTGTCTGCTCAGGTTATAAAAGTGTTCGCTAGCCCACTTAAATGAATACAAGCTGGCCTAGCCAAGACATACTCTTTACAGATATCTAAGCACTTGTTACAGATCAGTCTTCCATGGCATCTCTGTCAGACCTGAGCATCCATCCAGCTTCCATCCTAGAGCAGGACGGCACATAGCCAAGGGGCAGTAACTCCCTCCACTGACACAGACGTTTACAGAATCCATTACCTAAAGGCTTTCTGAAATTTGTCAATAAAGGAGTTGAGTTCTAAGTTGTAGTGAAACTAAAGAATCAGAAGTTTTACTGAGGAGCACAGACTATATAAATAAGAAAAGGGAACATGGCAGCCAGGCAACTATTATAGAGGCAAAGCAACAGTGATACTTTTAAAAAACTTCCTTGCTCTTGACAGTGAAAATTTAAGTGCACACTTCATCCAGCAGCCAAGGGAAGAGACTAGTTCTCTCAGTACAGCTTTGCTGTCTTAGAGCTGACAGGCTTAGTTCTTCAAGTATAATTTCCAAATCTTGCTCTACACTGCAAGAGTACACTCCAAAGAAGTATTTTAGGTTTTTCAAGAACTATGAAGTAACCACATTTTCTGCAATGCAGGATCAGTCTCCATTGTCTTTAAAACAGCAGATCACAGTGGGTTTTCCTGTGTTATATTTTCTGGCCTTTCCTTCTACAGACTTGATCCAAAAGAAGAAGCATTTTAGAGTTGAAAATGTACAGCTCATATATATATATATGCAATTCATAGCTTATCTGTACAACCAGATTTTACTGGCTGCATATATATGTATGCTGCATGTTTGCTAGTCAGTATAGACAGAAGTAGTTAAAAAGCAACTAAAACCGCATTTCACTGCAAACTGGAACCAGTAGACTTCCAAGTGTAATATTTTACATTGATAGAGGTGGTATAGCTTTTCTAGTTAGTTCTTACTAGCTACTTGGTATCCAGCAAAATTCTGAACTACTTTCGCTTCCAGTTTCATCCTTCCAGGCAAAGGTTTTGAATATTCATTAATAAGCCCAAAAATGAGGGGAACGTGTAATACATCTGTGTATTTTTTTTTTCCAGGAGGTAGCTTAACATACTGTAGAAAAGTCAGCTTTGCCTCAGGGAACATTACTGAAGTGGACTCTAATCTTTACTAAAACAATCTATATTTTGTTGTTTTGTCCTCCAATCATCTGTATCTATTTGCCGTTCTGTTCCAGTCTGCTTTGCTTCTTTAAAAATAGACAATTAGAAAGAGACATCTGTTAACTTGCATTTCTAATTTTATGTTTCAACAATTATGCTTCCCCTTCAATACCCTCTTCTCTTCTTTTTCCCCTCCAAAAATCCTAACTAAACAGACACCAAATCTGTGTGCTTGATTTTCACAAGAAAAGAATTCAGATCTTTAAATGGATATTAGTTTTAAAAGATGTGAATGCGTGAACTAAAAAGAATGTAGATGTGCTGAAAGAACAAATATGCAAGGAATAATTTAAAATGTGCTCTGCTAAAGCAGAAGTTCTTCTCTCCTGAAGGCAGTTAATCTAGGGTGCTAAAAGGATTGAGGGTGGGACAGTGATGGTGGGGCACAAGTGTTGGAAGGGGGACCACAAGAGATTCATCATCCTTGGTCCACAGGAATAAACCAAGTGAGAACATGGTATCTTTACATTCTCAAAGGACTAAGGAGGTTTCTCCTGATACAATTCCACTTCTAATTTTCAAAAAAGTCTGTATATAATCAATGCACTTAAAGCTTTAAGTTTTAGTAACTTCATTTAGACTTTGTTTATAAAACAAACACACACAAGCACACTTCCTAGAGTGCAATATGCTTAAATACTTCAATGACAGAACTCTACGTGTAGTTTTTGGAATAGTAATCCTTTCGTTCGAGTCAACTTCTTCCTTGTCATCGCATCCATTGCCAGCAACGGCTGCATTACAATTAACCAAGGAGTGCAGCAAATGCAACAAGAGAAATCTCTGTACTCTTCCTTCAGTTTTCCAGAGAACATTGTTCATTTGTATAAACTCATGGTTGGACTCTGATACATGCACATATAAGCATCACAAAGTAGTCTTCGTGCACAGCCTTGAATTTTTCTGGAATCCAGTGAATGCAGTTCCTCTAGAGACATCTTTAGGTATTCACCAACTTCTGGACATGGGGTAACTTGTGGAATGTTAAAACCATTCTGACCTCCTTTTATACACAAGAGAAGAAAAAGAGAAGCAGATTAGAATAGCACATACATATATTTACTCTTCATATTGTACAGCATCACCACTTCTTGAAAATGCCATCTGAAAAACTTGCACCTGTCATTCTGCACTACTGCTGGGTAAATTTGTGAAAACCAACATTCAACAAAAACTGCAGTTGCCATCAGAGTATCTTGCAGTGTCTAAAAAAATTCAAACCAGTTAGGTCTGACATTAGACTTAACCTTTAAATAATTACTTCATGATGTATTCTAAAAAGCACAAGGACTTCAAAGTATAAGAAAGTAACATGTCAAGCATAATTATTTGCTTTTCTAAGGAAACACCATTTCTCTGCAATATCCAATTGTGTAAGAAAAAACATTGAAGGTATTTAGCCTCTTATTCAGAAAATTTGCTCTGCAAGCTTGCATATTCTACTAGCTTAAAAAAATTTCACCAAAACAAGAACTTTGTTTTTTTGTTAACAAAAAAACAAAAGTACAACTTTGGGAGAGTGACCTGAATACACACTCCATCTCAAACACCAAACTTTTTAATAAAGTAACAACTGGTAACAGTTGATGATTATTATAGGCCATGAGCAAGTTTAAAAAGAAAAATGGATATCCATGATATTGCTCCCTAGCAAACTTTTTTTTAAGCTTACAGTATCTCGTCAGCTAGAGAAAAATATTTGAGACAAAAAAATTAACATCAGAAGGAGATATATCCACTATCTCATGAGATCTACATTCTTGAAATCAAGTCGTTTAATAAGCTTATGTCATACACATTTCAAGCACTTCAAAACAAAGCTTGATAGCCTTTTGAATATAGGAAGATAAAGAGAGACCTTAATCCTGTGGCAGATTCTCATCCTCAGCAGGAGGCAAGATCCCCCCTGCCCCCCAAGGAGTCACACCACAACAGAAGGGGTCAAGAATTCTACATGCAAACAAGTCACTACAAGTGACACTTGCATCTATTACTGTTTTTCCTCAGGCGCTAGAATTGAACAATGTCCTTATTTCAACAGTTTGTAATGCAGTAAGAGAATACTTGATTTACTAACATACCTATTATTGTAAGGTAACAGTTTCCCACTGCTAACTCTAGACAGATTCAAAGGAGTGGCACTGATTTTTTTTATTTCCTTCTTTTACTCCAAAGACAATGGAGTCATTTAAGCAAAGCTACAGAAATATTTGCATGCTATCTGATAATTTTATACATTCACTTACATGTAGACTGAAAGAAGATTCACGCAGCTCTGTAATTAAAATAAAATCTCTGCCAAACTTGTAAGGTATAGAAGAATGCAAAGAGTACTGCTGGAAAACTTTTGTAGTTACTTCTGTACTTATTGAGGCATTTAATCTAGGCTGAATTCAGCCAGTACAAATTTGGGGCTCCCATGAGACCAATATACTAAGGAAAGGCTAGATCAGATTAGTGTCCCTACATCAAATACTTAAGTGATGTTAATATCCCCAAATTAGTTTAAAAAATAGGCACTGAAGTTTAAAATAATAATACAGGTACAACTTCAAAAGAAAATTAATAAGAGAATAAATTAATAATCTACCATCCCGATCTGCCATGCTGTCAAAGAAAAGCCAGGCGGAGTCATCCCTCCCATATTTAACAAAAGCAACATAGTGGCTTGTTTCTATGCAGAGAACAGCAAACAACTCCATCTTCTGGTATGGGATGCAACCATGTCGCCAGTCCCAGTCTGGCAGATCTTTAGGAAGTGACAATGGATTGAATTTATGACTCTGTCTCTTGGGATGAAGATGAACCTGCAATTGAAGCGATATTTCAGAAGAAGAAAAAACCCACAAGATTATTTGTTTCAGTGGCAGACAATGCTAAAGAGAATAGTACTGTTGAACTGAAGATTAACGGCATTAGAGAAAAAACTGCAACAGCAGCAGCAAATGTTACTTCTGTTTTTTCCTCCCCACCAGCAGAGTTCAATACTGCCCAGAAAAGTCAAATCTAAGGTCAGAAGGGAGGTCAGACTTAATGCAGCAATTTTCTGCTAGGCTCAGGCTTCAAAACAAGCCACAGCTATGAGCGCTTCATGCCATTTACCAAATAGCTCTAAAGTTAAATGGTTGTATGTCATAAACTTATTGATTCAAACAAGGTAGCATGTGTGTTAAATGATGACTTAAAGTAAGCCACTTGGAACAGATTCCAAGCTGCCTGCTATTACTATTTCTCCACTGTATTCAGTGTTGGATATAGCAGTTGCCATGTTTATAGTAAGAAATTGTTGATGAATGCACTGCAGGGTCAAGTGGAAATCATGATTTGTCACTGAAGGCTACACTCTACTTGGCAGAGACAATTATACTAGCATTGGTGAGAAAGTCTTGCTACAACTCTTATATTTTCCTTTTGATTAATCCAGTATACACCATTTAGGTTAAACCCAAGGAGACTAACAAAGACAACTTACTTGGGTGTTGCAGGTTTTGCAGAACTGCTTGATTTTCCCAGCAGAAATATCAGTATCTTCATAACATTCTCTGCACTCATACATAGCAAGTCCTCCACATATACGGCACTGCCTGGGAGCTGCATTTTTAAATAAGGTATTAGTCTTCAGCTTTGAGGACCTTTTTTGTTTAAGGAGAGGAGTATGGAAAGGAGCGCAAATTATTACTTTAAATGCAGGAAAAAAACCTAGATTATAAAAAGCTTGAAACTAGATCACCCAGCAAAGCAGAAATATACCATCACATGACCTAATTTCTCCTCTGTGATAGAATGTGGAATAAAACAAATGGTTTAAATAATGATGAATTGAAAAAAGAAGATAAACATTAAGTTGTATCAACTAGACATAACAAGTAAAATTAGCCTTTTCAAATCAAGTTAATTTTCTCTTATCATACTGGTATAGCTAGCTTAGCCTTTAAGTCTGTCAACACCAGCAAGCAAATAAATAGCATAAACTGGTGAAAAGGCCATGACAGTGTTCCATACCACAGCTTAGATGACAATTATTCTAATTAATTTTAGCAGTTTTATTAACTCTCATCTCAAATTTAAAACCAGGTATTTTTCCTTAGATAACAACTAAGGAATAGGACTAGGCATTAATCAGTTTTGTCCAATACACAATTTCAAGGGCTAGAAATTTAAGTCTGCCAATATAAACAAAGATGACATTTATAGTTGAAAACACTATCGCTACATGCTGAAAGTTCACACAATCTCAGTTCTTCTGCTTTAAAATAGTATTTTTTTAAACTAATAAAAAAAAGCTTTGAGGCACGCAACGAAAACTGATGAAACTAATGAAATTGAATCAACACTAAATCCCTGTTAACCAACCTTAGTGCTAACCCTTGCCTTTAAGTTTCTTATCCCCATTTAATGGATAGTTTTGCGCATTTTTAGCAACCCTATGTCTTCAAATAACAAGTATACTTGTATACAAACTCAAATAAAAACATAATCAGGCAAATTGCAATGCTAGACCTTGTACTAACAAACAAAGAAGGTCTAGTTGGAGAGGTGAAGGTTGGGGGCAGCCTTGGCTGCAGTGACCGTGAGATGGTGGAGTTCAGGATCCTACGAGGAGGGAGCAGGGCAATGAGTAGGATTGCATATGGAATATCCTAAAGAAGAAGGATTAGAAGGAGAAAAGGAAAGCCCAATGGTTCCATCACTTTACTTCCTACTCAAGAAATAGAATAACCCTGAATCATGTAACTTATCCAAGTATCCTTAACTATAAAGAGTAGAAGGACTTCAAGTTTCCTTGGTCTTGGTAAATTTTCATTTGATCTTAATCAGCTAAGATAGGCAATCAAACATTTTTTACAAAGGCAAATGCTTATTCAAAACTCCATCAGTAATATCACTAACAAAAGATCAAGAACCATTCACCTACCCATATTTTTCCTTTTATATCTCAAAAAAAATCCTTACTCATCTAAAAATAAGAAAACTTCTAGAAGTGCTGATAATACCAACATGAGTAATGATGTACTATAATTCTGTTCCAAAATAAAATAACCCCTTCCCCCATTACAAGGTAGAGACATAAAATTGGGAACTTTGAATTCATTTTTTCATCTTCACAAGCTTGCTTTCCAAATCTGTTCCTTCCAATGATAAGGAAATTTATTTTTTTTCATTGAGATTATTTATTTACAGGAATCAAAGAGCAATGGTTTTAAAAATAAAAATCAGTACTGTGAAATTCAAAATAAAAGTACAAAAGCTGATAACGCACACAGAGATATGTAATTCTTTTGTTTTCTTTGTACTCTTTTATTGATGAATTGTTACAGGTAAGTTATCATGTGACTGTAATAATTTTCAGTATGGGATGGTAAAAATTGCTAAAATTAGTTATGATATTCATCAACTGGTGAAAGTTGCTAGGAGTTCCTTGAAAAGAAACATTAAGTTAAATTACCCTCTGTGCTCCACTGCTAGCAATTCCCACTTAAACTAGCTTTATATGAATAAGCATGTTGCCTACTTCTCAGAAATCTCCGTTATCTAAGGAAATTAGAATAAGTAGCCCTCTTAGTTGGGTAAGTACCTACTCTGCTAATGTACTGCAGACGCTATCGATTTTAATTGTTAAGAGTCACTAATATATCACCATCTCCCAAGATAAAATGCATCTCCCTCTATGAAAATAAACACCTTTGCTTAGGCTCACTGTTTATCTTCTGATAAATGTCTGTGCTTTCTTTCCATGTTTATCATCCTAGGAGGAGGAGACCATTATCTGCAAGAGCATTCAATTCCACTGACATTACTATCACTTACACCTCCTCTGTCTTACACCTCTTGGCTCTCTCAGCATTTTCATGTTTAGAGTAGTATTTATCACAGGAAGTTGGAAATTACCAGTGTCTCAATTTTGTTTTTCATCTGATTCATGAAGCACTTCTCATAATGTGAAAAGCAGTTCATGAATTGCTTGAGAGCCAGAAAAAGAATAGTAGTGCATCTATTTCCATATAAATGGCCTCATTACTATGCAGGCTTGTGATAATTTATGAGATGGGATCCTTTTCTGAAAACAGGGGTCCTACTGGCAATGTCCTTCTGTTTATACAGAAGGAAATACAATTTCAAAACTATTTAGGAAATATAACTTCTAAATTGGTAAGGTGCACCTCACTTTGACCCACAACAAAAGCACCGATTAGGCATCGGGTTTCGGAAGACAACCAGTGGCATTTTAATACTAGCACGCATTTTTTGCACTACTGTATAGAGCATTAAAATATTATCATCCAGAGAGAAGTAAAATGAAGTTTTAAGAAAGTCTGAATATCATATAATAACATATGTTAAAAATACACAGATAAGATAAGATATCTGTGTAAAAATACACAGATAAGGGACAGAGTGCACCCTCAGCAAGTTTGCTGATGATACTAAACTGGGGGGAGAGGCTAACACACCAGAAGACTGTGCTGCCCTTCAGAGGGACCTGGACAGGCTGGAGAGCTGGGCGGAGAGGAACCTCATGAAGTTCAACGAAGGCAAGTGCAAGGTCCTGCACCTAGGCAGGAATAATCCCATGCACCAGGACAGGCTGGGGGTTGACCTGCTGCAAAGTGGCTCTGCCGAGAAGGACCTGGGAGTGCTGGTGGACAACAAGTTAAACATGAGCCAGCAGTGTGCCCTTGTGGCCAAGAAGGCCCATGGTATGCTGGGGTGCATTAGGCAGAGTGTTGCCAGCAGGTCGAGGGAGGTGATCCTGCCCCTCTATTCAGCCCTGGTGAGGCCTCACCTGGAGTACTGTGTCCAGTTCTGGGCTCCCCAGTACAAGAGAGACATGGCACTCCTGGAGAGAGTCCAGCGGAGGGCTACCAAGATGATTAGAGGGCTGGAGCATCTCTCCTATGAAGAAAGACTGCAAGAGCTGGGCCTGTTGAGCCTGGAGAAGAGAAGATTGAGAGGCGATCTCATCAACGTGTACAAGTATCTGAAGGGGGAGTGTCAAGAGGATGAGGCCAGTCTCTTCTCCGTGGTGCCCAGCAACAGGACAAGAGGCAATGGGCAGAAACTGAACCACAGGAAGTTCCACCTGAACCTGAGAAAAAACTTCTTCACTGTGAGGGTGACTGAGCATTGGAACAGGTTGCCCAGAGAGGTAGTGGAGTCTCCTTCGCTGGAGATATTCAAAACCCGTCTGGATGTGATCCTGGGCAATATGCTCTAGGTGACCCTGCTTGAGCAGGGAGGTTGGACTAGATGATCTCCAGAGGTCCCTTCCAACCTAAACGATTCTGTGAAATTACATTGTATACATTCTTCTGGATTACAGCTTTTAATTTACATGAGAAAGAAAGGGACATTTACTGGTTAGAATAATCCCTCCTCAGTTTGAGTCTCTCATTTAGCAGCACTACTAGTTAAACGTGAAAGAACACACAGCAGTACTTACTTTCATTGTGCAAGTCACTTTCAACAACTTATTTTCATTATACATTGCATTGTTATACTTACTATCTTCAAGTAAATCTGTTATATTTAATTCCAGAGAAGGAAAAATTTTGTTGAACATTTTGAAGTCTTTTCCAAATCGAGGCATCTGGATAATCAGGCAAGAAGGTGCCTACGTAAAATGCCAAAATATAATTTAATGAGATGGATAGTTAAAGTTAGAGACTCACAGGTAATGCCATGACCACCTTCATGTTACTTAGACTTTGCGGCCTACTGACTTTAAAATTAATGAGATAGTAAGCAAAATAAATTTAGATGTTTGAAACTATAATTGAAAAAACCCAGAAAACTAGCATCCAATTCATTGCCAAATGCAATCAAGTCCAGTCATGCACAAGCACGATACTGAAAACTGTGCTACCTCCCACGAGAGGGAGAGAGAGAGGTGGTCTTTCCTTTGCACAGCTTTTACATGAAGAGGACTCAAAATATTAGTGCTCAGTAAAGCAGTAATTCACAAAACAGGATGACTTGCTGGCTATAACTAAAATTTTCTTTTAGTAATACTGGCTAAACAGACAAAATTAATTTAGCTCAGGAGGATACACATCATTAAGCCAACCTTAAAATATTTTTACAGTTTAGGCAACCTGTACCACTGACCTAGTACTTCCATCACCAACATGTCTGCATTTTCTCTTCGCACCAAATCCCATTTTCATCCCACTACCAAATGGGTAAAAATCTAGGTATCATCATTTCTAGAATTAAGCTGTAAGATATAAGGCAACAGCTGTCACCAACCTCTGCAAACTTCAAGTTGCTGTTAATGAAAGACCATTCTAGTAACTGCTGAATTGTTGGGACTCCAACTTTCTCATTTTTGTCCATGAAAATTTGATAGAAGTAACAGTCTTGTACTTTCTGACCCGCTGATCTAAAAACAAATTAAAAATTCAAATTCTGAAAGTCTGCTGTTAACAGCTGTATTTTATTAGGCAAATAGTATTATCTACCAGAAAACCTACTATATATCCTCTACACCCTACATACTATCCTCTCCTCTACTTTGAAATATACTAAGCTTAAAAAAAAAAAAAGGCATCAACAAGAGAAATCCTCAGATGACAGACAATGAAGCATTTAAGCGTGGACTGATTTTAGAAGAGCTTATTTAAAAAACAGGGAAGTATCACAGTATGTTTTAAAGACATATGCCTATGCATTACTGAATTACCAAATCAAAATACTTTCTAAGCATATGCATCAAGAACTCCAACACGCTAAGGCAGCTTTCATTGAAAAGATAAGTAAGAGCTTCAGTAGTAAAACATCAAAATGAACTAGAGTAGATCTCCTTAGCGTGTTCACAATATTCCCCAAAAGGGGTTTAAAAGAGTCACTGTTTAATGAAAAATTTTGTTTTAATTAGGGAGATATTTACACTGTATTCACCTACAGTGGAGGTCTCACCATAGATGGTGAGTGTTGCTAGGCTTGCTATACATAGTTAACAGAGCTCTCTGAAAGGATAATCCAACCCTAACTTAAGAAACTTTCCGCACCTACATAAACATCAAGATGGCCTAGTATATTAATTGCCCATATGATCCAAACCACTCACAATGGCTAAATTTCCTCATCCTTGAATAAATATATTAGTGTTATTTGGACAAGGAGAAGGGCACAGAAAATTTTAAGTTATCATTTTAAGTTCTGAAGTTAGATGTTGCAGAACAGAGTCAAAACAAAGTACTGATGTTTTCAGATAATATTTCTATTATGTGAACATAAATCTGAGATATTTGGGAAGAAAGCTTTAGGTAAATAATTCAGCCCATTCTGGAGGGACAAAGGGTAGAAGTCTGTGCTCATACTGAAGGATTTTTCTATCACAGAGAAAAAGCATATAGGAGCAACTGGCCTCCAATGCCAAAAGAAAAGTTAGGTAGGATCCGTTTCATCACAGTGCCAAAGTTTCCTCCTGATTAAGTCATATCCTTCCTGGGAACTTACACTGTCATTAAGTTTGCTTTAAATGATAACCTCTTCCCATCTCACCAAGCATTTAAGCAGCATTGCTTCTTACAGCTCTCACTGAAGCTGAGAGGATTCTTGAAGTATGATGCACAAAGCTGATAAACTATTAATTTTTAGCCTTCTATCCACACAGCTATTACAGGGAAAAAAAAGCAGACTTCCGAATTACACTCAAAGAGCTATACACATGCACAGTAGAATGTGCATCAAAATATACACCAACGTAAGTGCTAAAAGCAGAATGAAGGAACAAAGGCCTAGGAGGCCAAGCTTGGCAAAACGGGGATTAAAAGCATCTGGAAGATGATGCTGAAAGCGACAAGTGAAACAGCAGGTATATTTTATTGCTTTTACTTCACTCCTTTTAACAGGTGCTGCCGAGACAGAAATCACAGTTAACTACCTAAAACTAGAAGTGTATTCTCACATGAAGACAACAGTGGCCCAGTTGTTTTCACTTGGGGGGGGGGGGGGGGGGGCATACCACTGTTTTTTCAGCTCATTGCAGTTCATAGAACTGGAGTGATGAAGTAACAACTGTGAGTATCATGATATGGAAAGTTATTTTCTAAAAAAAAAAAAAACCAAAAACAAAAAAAACACACACACCCCCCACACACTTTCCTATATAGGCTCAGTTATATGCTTGAAATGGTTGGGGTTTGTTTTTATGAAATTAGCACTGGACAAGAAATACAGACATCTGTCTAGGCAAAGATGGGAATAGAGTTCTCCATTCATTTCTT